ATTTCTTTGAATCCTTCAGTTTTTTACGTGACTATGGCCAAGGCCAATATAGGTTTTTGGTCCTTTGATCACATCTCTCAGGGGAAAGAGAGACTCTTTTTCTCCCATTCTACTCGAAATAGAGGGAAAGTGAGTAGTTTTGCTTTAGTTGCTGTTAATAGTGAAGTATGATATATAGGAACATCCTGTGTTATATTTCAAGTAGTTTGACTAAGCTCAGAAGATTTGATTTTAATTAAGTTTACTTATAAAATATATGAATTTTAAAATAAATTACATTTTCCAAAAGCTAGTAGATTCTCTAGCTTGACCAAGTTGTTGACGTTTCATAATGAATAACATACAAGAGTGTGTTCGACTAAGCACGTGTATGCCAAGTGTTTATAAAAATCGTTTATGAATGACCAAAAAAGGGATTAAACAAATTTTTATCGCCAAAATCCACAAGTTGTACATATCCATCACTTTGGATCCGTTTGACATGACTTTTGAAAAGTTAAAAAAAGCTTTTGATTTTATCGCCAAAATCAATAAGCTGTACATATCCATCGCTTGGGATTCGTTTGGTATGACTTTTGAAAAGTTAAGAAAAGCTTTTGAGATTCAAAAGCAACTTTTGAACTCGTTTGATTAATTGTATGAAAGCGTTTCTTCTAATTAGAAAAACTTTTAGAGAAATGTGATTCAATGTGGCTTCCTCCAAATTTACATCTGAATAGGAAATATTTTTAAAGATTAGTTTTTAAACAAAAATTAAATTAACTTCCTCTAAAATCTCTTTTACAAGAAGTAGAATTAAAAGCAAAATCAAAAGCTATGCCAACAAGTCCTTAGTTCTATTTATTTATTAATAGAACTATTTCCAATCAAATTGAAGTTAAGAATAATTTAATCTATAGTTAGATAGCAGTACTTGTAAAAACGATAATTCAAACTCTTAAATTCACTTTATTACTTGTTACGATCCGTACACTTCAAGATATAAAATCGATAACAAGTTTTTGTCTCATTTCGACTAAACAGATGTTTGACAAGGGTTTATAAATCGTTTATGAATGACCAAAAAAGGGTGTTAAACAAATTTTTATCCCCTAAATCCATAAGCAATACTTACTTATCCATCATTTATTCCTTTTTATTTATTAATGTTACTGTCTGTATATACTTTCCAGACAAGCTTTACGTTTATAAGCAAGAATTGATTACTTGTGAACTTATATAAATGTGTTACTATATCCTGTTTGATGCAGATTACTTAAAAATAAAATTTTGTGAAAAGTAATCATTTTTGGAGAACGGATCGTTAAATATTATGAACCTATGTATAAAGCCCCTATTTGGTGGTTATTATTTGAAAAATGTTTTTACTATATACTTATTTTTAACTATACATTTACACAATAAA